CTACACTACTTAGAATCATGTATACTCTATCTTTCTGTAGTTAATAAACTTATTCTGATGTTTTATCTAAATCAGTGTGTCTTTGGCTGAAGGGCTTGGGGAATCTACTCAGGTTAATAAGGGCTGGTGCATATTCATTTTCTTTGATAAAACAACAGACTTTATAAGCTTGTATTTCTCAGTAAGTAGCTGAGCAGTACAAGGCTTGCATTTCTGGGGTGCAAGGGATATGTGGGCATTGCCCTATATATAATTCAAGAGTGGCTGGGCATAGCACTCTGGTATATGTCTGGGGGTGAGGGGTGACTTGTATGCTAGAGGCTGGGGTGAGTGGGCAGAGTGGCAGCTCACACAGCAAAGCACGGCATAGTATAAACCAGGCTGGAGAATTAAGGGGCACAGCAATTCTACAGTCCAGATTGTACCCTGGGGGATGTCATGGAGGGCTACTCAGACATATGGAAATTAACAATTCAGCAATAATGTTGAAATAATTTAGTATCTGAAATCAGTGATCAGAGACCTTTAGGCCTCATTGAGGGATAGCTCCCATTGATTTTAGTGGGCATTTTGGCTGTAAAAATAAGGGGGTAAAGGATTTGGTCAAATTATAGATTTTCTGAAATACTTTCTAACATTTTAAGTGATATTTTAAAAAATAAACATATTCTTAACCAAATCTTTTAAGATCTCATGACCATTGACATTTTTACTTAAAAACAGGACTGTGCCATTTCTTAAGTATAATAATTCCATGCATCAGGGAGAATAGTTATGAAGATATAAAGGATCTGTTATGTGGGGAAGGCATTTGGCCTCAGGCATTGTATCTCATTACACGCAAGGTGTCTGTATCTCTCGCTCTCACAGCTGCATGTCCAGTCGTGTGTTTTCCTTTCATAATTGCTGCATTTCCACAGATGACCTACTTTTTCCTTTTTCAGTGTGAGTCCTGAAGTTATAGCTATAGCTCAAATTATGAATTTTTGACAAAGTACAAAACATAAAACAAAGCATCAAGGAAAACATTCGGCTAGATACATCCTGGCTTCCATTTGTGTAAAAATTGGTGGACAGATTCCTGGCAGTAAAAAGTTCTCCTGGGAAAACAAACCGTCAGCGCAGAAAGAGGTCATTGACTAAACAAAAAAGAAGACAACGGAGGGCCAACACCGACCAGCAATGAATGATGATGGTCATGAAGTAGGAATAGCCAATTCATGATTCAGCACAACCCTTAAGTGTACTGAATCTGCCTGATGCCCTATCTGTAAATTAAAGTTTCTTCCTTCCAGCAGGAACACTGACAGAAAGTGTTAGTGGAAACACCACATGCCCTCCTTCAAGGTGAATCCCTTCTGTGACTCAATGGACCTTGCTGGTCCACACTGTATCAGGGATGTGTGGTAAATCGGGCTATAAAGAATAACTTGGCAGACTTTTAAAATGTGTAAAGAGGAATTTCCTGCACATGTATAAATAACACTATATTAATGCTCACTGTATTATTTACTTATCAGTAAATAATATTATACTGTAATATTGCTACTTCATAGATTCACAGATTTTAAGGCCAGAAGGGACCATTATGATCATATAGTTTGAATTTCCTCATAACATAAGCCACAGAACCTCACTCAGTAATTTCTGCATCAATCCCATAATTTGAATTTGATCTATATGAGACATTCAGTCTTGATTTAAAGACTTGAAGTGACGAAGAATCCATCACGTCCATAGATAATTTAATCTAGTTGTTAATTACCTCACTCTTAATTGCACCTTGTTTCTAGTCTGAATTTGTCTAGGTTCAGCCACTGGATCTCATTATGCTATTTTTCTATCATCAGAAATCTCTCCCCCACGTAGATACTGGTAGACAGTGATCAGGTCTGTAGACTGTATTCAGATAATCTTAATCTAGAAAGAATTTACGACAGTGTAGATAACATGGGGTTTAGAGTCAGATTCAATCCTTCATGAAAGGCAGTGCTTCCCCCCCTTGCTATTCTTTACTCTTCCACTTTAGCTCCTTACTGCACATATAAAACATTTTATTATTTAACACTCATAAGTATTTTACTGATTATCATTTTAGTGGAAATGTCGAGGACATGTGCTTTCCCAGTGTGGTTAGACATAATCAAATTTATAGATGGAAAAGATCTGTTAGGTTTGAGGTAAACAGCATAAGGTCCTTGGGGCTCCTCAGTTCCAGCATGTCTCTGGAGGTGAAGAGGAATACATTTATATCAAAAGTAGGTGTATGTTCTAGCCAGTCTGAGCAGAGTCAAGTGTTTCAAAACAGTTGGCTGGGAAAGTTTGTGGAAGGTTTGCTCTACAAAACAAACCTCTTCCTGCAACAACTGCTTGAAGTCACAACACAAGATACAATATTTTCAGATATTTAAAATATTATATATTGGGTGGGTGCAAACTTTTTCACAGACAACTCTCGGGGTGAACTTTTAAACTTTCTGACTTGTCAACTGCGATGCTGGGAGATCAGGTGCCAGCTCATGCCTAGGCCTCACTGAAGACTGTCAGATGCATAGCTGAAAACCAGCTTGGCTCACCTGTGTGTTAACATTGTTAAAATATATATTAAATTTATAAGAATGCATTTAGTGTTTGGACTTTATGAAATGCTTGTGAGCTGCTGCATGAATTAATCTCACTTATAATATCCATGTTATAACCCATGTTATAAGATAATTAAGTTTTTGTTTTTTAACTGTAAAAATGTTTGCTATGAAACTGGACATCCCCATAGTCAAGAGAGAAGCATTACCAAGTGTGAAATACTAGTTTTCCACAAGAGATGTTATCTCCTGCCCAACAAAAGACGGCCTATAGACACCAGACGAACCACTGTGGAACATCAGTGGACAAAAGACTTTGTTGATTGCTCCACGCACACACAAAAAGGGGATGTGCACAAACCCTCAACCCATCACAGTTTGAACTCTGAGGAAAAGGAATAAAAATCCGTGATCATTATCCTACTTGGAATTTGGAGACGGCAATGTTTCTAAGCATAAGGGATCCCCAAGATGCTTAGCATGGTTTAGCCCTAAAGGACATATAGAATTTGCACATTACAGCAGCTTCTATTACTTTTTGAAATCTAAGACTGCAACACATTTGTGTGCGTATGCTTACCTGCTTTAACCTTGTAAATAACTCTCATTTCTTTTTCCTACTTAATAACTCTTTAGTTAGTTCATTATAGGATTGGCTATAAGCATTGTCTGTGGTGTGAGATCTATGGTACAATTGATCTGGAGTAAGTGACTGGTCCTTTGGGACTGGGAGTAACCTGAATATTATTGTCATTTTTGGTGGAAGGGACCATTTATCACAAAGGCAGGCTTACCTGGGGGGCAAGATAGACTGGAGTGCCCAAAGGTACAAGGTTGTTATAATGCTTGAAGAGTTCACACCTGATACTTGGTTGGTCAAATCTAATTATAGAAACACAACCAGTTTGTGCCCTGGTTTGTAATAGTCAGCCCTGAGATTGGCATGCACGGTCATGAGCCACTCCAGGCAGCCTGACATCAACAAATACCCTAGAAAAATCGATGTCACAGAGCTGTGCTGAAGAAATTAGGAAGCTTCGCAATTAGTTTGGTTCAAAGACCGTCAAAGATATTAAATTGTTTTGTAGATTGATTTTCAGATGAATCTACAGAGGATGAGTCCAATGTCGATAAATGCAAAGTAATGCACATTGGAAAACATAATCCCAACTATACATACAAAATGACGGGGTCTAAATTAGCTGTTGCCACTCAAGAAAGAGATCTTGGAGTCATTGTGGATAGTTCTCAGAAAACATACACTCAATGTGCAGTGGCCGTCAAAAAAGCTAACAGAATATTAGGCACTATTAGGAAAGGGATAACTAATAAGAAAGAAAATATAATGCCTCTATATTAATCCCTGGTACACCCACACCTTGAATACTATGTGCAGTTTTGGTCACCCCATTTCAAAAAGATATATTAGAATTGGAAAAGGTGCAGAGAAGGGCAACAGAAATGATTAGAAATATCGAACAGCTTCTGCATGAGGAGTGATTAAAAAGACTGGCACTTTTCAGCTTGGAAAAGAGACAACTAAGAAGGGATATGATAGAGATCTATAAAATATTGACTGGTATGGAGAAAGTGAATAAGGAACTGTTATTTACTCCTTTATATAACACAAGAACCAGGGGTCACCGAATGAAATTGGTAGGCAGCAGGTTTAAAACAAACAAAGGAAGTATTTATTTACACAACGCACAGTCAACCTGTGGAATAGGGGATGTTGTGCAGGCCAAAACTATAACAAGATTAAAAAAAGAACTAGATAAGTTCATGGAGGATATGCCCATCAATGGCTATTAACCAAAATGCCCAGGGATGCAAACCCATGCTCTGAGTGCACCTAGCCTCTGTTTGCCAGAAGCTCAGAGTGGACGACAGCGGATGGATCACTCAATGATTGTTGGTCCGTTCATTCCCTCTGAAGCATTTGGCATTGGCCACTGTCAGAAGACAGGATACTGGGTTAGATGAGCCATTGGTCTGACCCAGAATGGCCGTTCTTATGTTCTTAGGGCTAATTTATGTAATGAAAACACAAAGATCCAAACTTCTAACAAAAACACATTACAACACATGAAGAGGAAATCATATGGGATCAATTTAACTTTAACTTAGTACTATAGTTTTAGGAATTCACAATACATCCATGCAGTTGATAAGTCCTAGAGCCCAACAGGAAAATTCCAAATCAGGTGGGAGGTAAAATAACCTACATGAGCATACTAACGTGTGAGATAACATCTGAATTTACATAAGCAACTGAAGCCTTTTGCTTATCTGTTAGTGATAAATATGCAAGAGATAAGATAATAGTGCGACATTTCTGCATGGATTTGTGATTCCTTATTCTGCATGCATGGTTTCTTTTTAGGCATGCATTATTTAATGTTCTTTCATTTGTCTTACCCTCATCCCTTCAAATCGTGACAAGGCTCTTAGAGGTCTCAAAGCTCTTAATGTCCTAAGGGATTTAATCGCACCAAGTTCTGAGTAGCCCAAGGCATTAGCTGTTAAGCTAACCAAAGAGACCTACATAAAAACAGAAAAGCAATAATGCTCATTCATCTTGTATATCCTCCTATACATACGCAAGGAATGGTGTGTGCCATGAACTTCCCAAGAAGAATGAAGGTTAGATCTCTTTCTCCAGGAATCATTCTATAACCTAGGAGAGATCTTTTAAGTCAGCCAAAGTAGAACAAAAGTGTGTTACATGACACCTGTCATTGAAATCCTGTTGGCACAAGGATATAAATGCTTTATAAGTTCACACATAATAGTCAATATTCAGTGGAAATGAAGTCATACACATAAAAAGAACTTCCAAAAATTTATCTGAATTTGAACTGCCAGTTTAGGATAAGACTTTTCAGAAAGTCCACAGATCTTGATAGTAATCCAAAAACTCTCAAGGATCAAATACAGACATGGTGTAAACAGTCACAACAGAAAAGGATTAATTTGGCCCACAGTCAATAGTAACTTTCTAGTGTCCAAAGTGTCTCACTCAAGAGCCATAGCTAGCAGAGCTGTTCAGAATTTTTGGCATTGTTGAAGACTGATAAATGAGAAATTTCTTATCTGATAATTTTCTGTTAGCAACTTCTCTCTGAATTCATTACTAATGGCCTAACCTCTCCCCCCACCCCCCGCCCAACTGTGGAATTCGGAAATGGTCCAATGTAGCTGCTGGAGGCTACAGAACAAAGTTCGGTCCTTCAGCTCTGGTCACCAGAAGAGTTCTTCCACAGACAAAGAAACACTCCAGTAACCAATTATTAGCATTAAGACAACTTGATATGACATATTAAATTGACCCTAAGATAATATATGTCTAAGACTCCTTTTAGAGAACAATTTCAATTTATATTCTGGTCATTTACCAGTCTACCAAGGTGGGTTGAATTCAGGGACAAATGGCTAACTGAAACAAATTCATCAGGTAAAACATTTCTCATTCCGTTACACAGCTTCTCTCTTCATTCATTACTAATGGGAAGTAGTAAGCAATGAATCCCAGAAGTAGGAAGGGAAAGAACTATTATAGTAGAACAACAGGCAGGAATGGAAGTTCCCCCCATATAAAGCAAGAGCTTGATAAACTAAGGAGCTATGTGGGAACCAACCAAATAGCACCCTCATACGAAACAATGCCTGTGTGAAGGAATGGAAAATTACTTTGCAAATCTTCCTCAGATGAGGCTCATATACTTCCTTGCCCCCCCCCCCCCTGAGATTTCTGTGAATAGTTTCTCAGATGCCTAGCATGCCAACTAGTGCCAGATACTTACATCTCGCCTGTAGCAACCTTGAGGCCCTAAGGACTTGGCATTTCAGATAGAAGGAGATTAACAGGATACAATTGGCGTATGTATTCCATATGCTTCAGATGTATCTTTAGCGATCAAGGTTGAAAGCCCATTCATGCCACAACCTTCCAAGGATTAGGAAAACATGATGGGAGAACTATTTCTCAGGAATTGTGGAAAGAGGAACTTATCTTGAACAGAAAGGTTTGTGGACCTACAAGAATAACATTTTCCTTATAACAAAAGCAGTGTGGTTCTTGCATGGATATGGGAACCAATTCCAAAACTTGACTTTTGGAGGTAATGGTGCCTAGAAAGGCAAGCCGCAGGCTTGTGTAATTTGTCTTTGTGATAAACTTGGCACCTGATACTTATATGGAGAATCCAATGTACCTGCCTACAAATGCCGCTATGTCTGGTACCCACATTTCTAAGGTGCTTGGCTGTAGGACTCGAACCAAACCTCCTTGGAGAAATACTGGTGTAGATGAGATCCCCAAATCTTTGCGATTATTATAATATTTATATTATCTATAGATCTGGACCCCATTGTGCTTGGCACACACAAACAAAAAGCCAGGCCAGGTCTCAAAGAGCTCTCTGCTTCCCCTGACATCAGAAATGTGAATTTGACCAGATCAATGAATAAAACATCCTGGCTGAGTTCTATCTGGATATCAAATTGTCTCAGAGGTTAATGTAGAATCCATGCTGAACTACATCTCTCTTCTGATGCTGGGGCTGGTAACTGTAGGTATTCAGAGTCTGAGTGAAGTCCCTGCTTCGAGAGGTCTTGCAAGTACAATGTATCTATCAAATACAAAGTGCCTTCTGGGCTAGTGGAGGTTTAGGAGGAGGACCACAACTCTCCCTTTTCCTCTTTTCTGTATCCTTTTACATGAACTGTCTTGAAAGGCAGCAGATTCTTTTCTACCCAGGACATTATTTCCATTGCCACAGAGAAGCTTTGACCCCTGGTTACTCTCTGGTGTTGTAAGTGATATAAACACGCATGACTCAATCACAAGCCAATCTGTCATGGGAGGTAAGAGGAGACTTACTCTGCAAGTACGACAATTGCCCACTATGTGGTTTCTTGCACCTTCTACTGATGTAGTTGGTACTGGTCACTGTCACAGACTGAACTTGGTGGACCACTGTTCTGATCCCATAGGGTCATGTGTGGTTTTTTTTTCTTTTTTTGAAGACACTCAACAGAGGTGTTGGAGTTAGCCAAAAGCATGTGTACTACAAAATATTGGAAAATTCTCCATATTGAGTATGCTAAGTTCTAGAGTGAAAGTTGGCTTGGCTTTCAGCATTTTGTTTGCCCTTTTCTGGCCACAAAGGAACATTGAAATGCAGTCTGAGGATGACACCTAATTTTGCAGTGTAACAAGTGCACGATCCTATGTCCTCGGAAGGAATTTCAGCAGGTACATTTTGAGAAACCCACTCAAGGGATGAAGCTGATGCATGGCACCAATAATCCTAGCCATTGGAGATAACTGATCCCTCAAGAAATGATTGATGCAATGTAGTTTTAGATCTTTGCTAATCTTCACCATTATGGTAAAATTATGGTCATACCCATGTCTCTTTTGATATCTGGGTGAGCAATTCTCTGCACTAGGATCAAAAACTCTTTTTGGTTTTCAAGAACTGGTGACTATGAATCCTTTCCCGCAGCTGTCTGTTTCTCTGTTCATACTGATTAGCATGTTATCTATGCATGGTTACAGCTGCATATTGTGCAACCTGTGCCTTGCTGTGAGAACTACCAGCCACTGAGAAGTCTGGGTGCAGAGGATGAATCAGAAGGATGAGTCTTGGACAGAAATTGTGAGGTCTCATACACAAATGCTCTTTTTGTCTTTGTTATGATGAGGATTTTGTTGATTTGGAGGAAAGTTTATCAATATTTCCTAGGAGGCTTCTGCTCCAGATTTTTCCCTCTGCCAGGGCAATAGTCCCTTCAAGGATACCCTTGGAGTTGCTATGCTGGCTCTGACAGTGAGGGTTGAGGCTTCTTTGCAATCTCAGCTACTACTTTCCCTAATGTTTAGCCAGATAGCTCCTTGCTATCAGTTTGAATGGCTATTCATGGTTATAACATGACTGTCTTGTAGCTACCAAGTCAGAATCTATTAATTGTCACAAATCACACCAAGGGTTTCACCAAGACAGAACCAGAAATGTCTCGTTCCAAGCAAGTATCATAGTTCTAGACAATGGGCCACTTGTTTGTCACAAAGTAGGTTTTCTTTACTAAATACAATAAAAATAAAAAGACTTTGGTCTGAATGGCTTTAGCTGAGGCTTTGAAATTGCTGTGCAGTGTGTCATCATTCATATGGTCTATAGCAGAGGTCAGTAAACTACGGCCCGTGGGTCACATCCAGCCTGCGGGACCGTCCTGCCCGGCCCCTGAGCTCCTGGCCGGGGAGGCTAGCCCCCGGCCCTTCCCCTACTGTCACCCCTCCCCCGCAGCCTCAGCGCTCCGCGCCGCCAGCACTCTGGCCCGCCGCTTCTGCCGGGCAACGGGGCTGCGAGCTCCTGCTGCTCTGAGCAGCATGGTTAGGGGGTGGGGCGGGGGTTGGATAGGGGTCGGGACAGTCAGGGGACAGGGAGCAGGCGGGGTTGGATAGGGGGTGTGGTCCCAGGGGGCAGTTAGGGGCGGGGGTGTGGATAGGGGTCAGGGCAGTCAGGGGACAGGGAGCAGGGGGGTTGGATAGGCATGAGAGTCCTGGGGGGGCCTGTCAGGGGGTGGGGGGGTGGATAGGGGTCGGGACAGTCAGGGGACAGGGAGCAGGGGGCGGTGGATAGGGGCTGGGGTCCCGGGAGGGTGCAGTCAGGGGACAAGGAGCGCGCGGGGGGGCTGGATGGGTCAGGGGTTTTGAGGGGGCCAGTCAGGGACGGGAAGTGGGAGGGGGCAGATAGGGGGTGGGCACCAGGCTGTTTGGGGAGGCACAGCCTTCCCTACCCGGCCCTCGATACAGTTTTGCAACGCCGATGTGGCCCTCAGGCCAAAAAGTTTGCCAACCCCGGTCTATGGGGTCTTTTAGAAGGAAGTCCCTTCCAAAGGTGTGACTGTATCTTTCATTGGTGGAGCTACTGCCGTACCAACCTTAAGCTCCCCAAATTTATGAAATGTCTTTGTTTTTATATAAACATTTTAGTTTAACCTTTGTTTAATTAGCTATCCTCATCTGAATCTTATGATGCCTTCAAAGGAGACATTGACAGGAAAACATGTATCTAATAAAAGGGAAGTTATTTTATTAATATTGAGTTCCTTGCAAACCACTGACTGACACCCTCTCCTCAAAAAGATATCCCGGGAGCAAGAAAGGCTGCCAGCTTGTTCCCAAAGGCTGGCTAGCACCCAAGTACTGTAGAAGCAACCTACTACCAGTTGAGGCTTTACACTGTAAATCAGGATCTCTTTGAACGTGGAAAAGGATTTCTCCCTTACCCTATTGTGATCCCATAAAGGGGCAGCTTTGTGAGGAGTAGAATCTTCATATGTCTGGAACAAGTGCTCCTAAGGCTTAAATGTGGAGCCAGCCTGTGGAAAAAGGGAGGGATGGAGAGAAAGAGACCCGTTCCTGCCTTTCAGAGTCTGAGCCTCTTTCCTTGGCAGAACAGGGTTTATAGATGATGATCAGAAGGCACAATTCCCATTCTGCTGCTGCCTGAATTCTGAGCCCCTTTCCCTGGCAGAAGGCCCTTGGGTTGAAAGCCAGACAGCCACATCTTCCATTAGGCTGCAGCCTGAACACAAGGACCAGGCTTCTCCACATGCCCGGATATGCTGCAGGGTGTGGGGTGAGCATGACAGAACACTGCGAAAAAGACACTGTGTAGGAGAAAAGCCCCAGCGAACAATCCCTCAGGAGAAGAGGCAAAAGAGAAGGAGTTTAACCCCTGATTTTCACCCCCTTCGTTCATTAACAACACTAATCGCTGCCTTGCAAAGGACATACTTCCTTTTGCCTTTTTGGGACCCAGAGTCTCGGATGTTTGTAGGACTTACCCCTGAGTATAAAGAGAATCCCACAATTCATAGTAGGAGGAAGGGAAACTGTACAGGCGCCCTGCTTCTTTCCCCAGGGATCTGAGGCCCCACTTCAGTATCTTGGGGAGAGGGGGGAAGGTGCCTCTGGATTCTTTCAGAGTTTTTTTCCTCCTCCAGTTCAGGTCTGTTCCAGGAATTACCCTCTGAGAGGGCTGGATAGCTTCCTCCCTATCCTTAGACACTTTCCGCAAAAGCTCAGAAATATCTGACTGAACTTTTCTGTATTGGAGCCGCAACTCCCCAGGGAAGGGTGGGGATGTGACATGCAGGACCAACTCTGAGCCCCATACCCTGGCAGTGCAAGAAGGCACTGGCTGGCTGGGAACAGACAGGGCATAATTCACCCTCTCTAGAGTCTGTAAGTGCTGTTTCACATAAGGAACACCACTTAGATTTAAGCCAGGTGTTTGCAGGACAGCTCTGCCATGACTAAGTTGGTGCAGAGGAGTTCATCAGGGAGGCACTGCAGTGTCAGATCCACCAATGTTGTTATTTACACGATCTGGGGGTCGAGGAAAAGGAGGAAGAAGATTCTAAGTTCCAACTGCACAAAAAAAAGTAAAATAAAGGGTTTAAAACAAAATGGTCGGGAGAAACTGAACTGCCAACTTTTTCCACTGTCAGAGGCAGAAAATCTGGTGAGCTGAGATGAAGGGCAGAGCTTAGTACTGAAGTCTCCAGCAACACTGGACTGCCTTTGAATTCCATGGGTGGCGGGATTAGCCCATTAGTAATGAATGAGGAGATAAGCTGTGCAACAGAATCAATATTTAAATAAATGGTATTCTATTATTGTTTAACAGTGCAATTAAAACTGCGATTAATCGCAATTATTTTTTTAATGTCATGATTAATCACAATTAATTTTTTTAATCGTTTGACAGCCCGAGCTGTGATACCTAGGACACATATGGGTCCTATATAGTACCTGTACCTGGGAAATTCTGCCGCAAACCCCTAAGAGACTTTTCTGGCCCTGGTATGCTGCTGTAGGAAAAAGTGGGGGACTGTTTTACTTTGAGATTATACTGATTAAGGAGTAGAGAATTTATCACAACTGTGATTAGACTATTAAAAAAAGCCCCCCAAAAGAACAAATATTAAAAATCCGTATACTATAAAAATCAAGAGGTTGAATGACATTCTTTCCATACTGCAAATAAATGAAAAAAGGAAGAAAAAAAGTACAAATGTACATTAATAACATGATAAAATATCTAAAGAATATCAGCAAAATGTTCAAAGCTACTGTTAACTTTCTGTAAATTTTGCCTTCAAAATTGGAACTACTGGGGCCATATTGTGCTGAAAGTTTTTAAACAGAGCTCCCCACTGGAATAAATAGAGAGTTTGGCTTAAAAATCAATGACACAAGATAAGTGAGACATAATATTGTGATTTACGGAGCATGATAGACTTGTAACACAGTATATAAAAGAGAATACATACATCAACGATCAGGAAGTCCAGCCAGCACCAGGCATTAGTGAAATAGGTTTGAAAACCATAAGCAACCCATTTTAGAAGCATTTCCAGAATGAAGATGTAAGTGAAGACCTTATCAGCATATTCCAGCATGGTCTTGATAGTCTTGCGCTGTTCAATGTATATATCTTCAAAAGCCTGTGAACAAAATATTTGTATATGAAGTGCTCATATGACTTAACAGTTTGCCATGTAAGTCAAAGGAACTGAGGAAAATATCCAGTATGCTTTTTTTTTGTAAGGTGATATGCAGATAACAGACCATAGTTTCCCCCCATCACACATACTTTCTCTTCCCAGTTGGAACAGGAGGCACCATTTCTCCTTCACTTTCTGTAACACATTCCTTCCTTTCATGCCTATTATTAGAGCCCTGCAAATCCACGGACCATTTCTCCGGATTGCGGCTTGGATGGGGATACAAATTTTGTATCCGCACAGAGCTCTGCAGCATACACTCTTCCAAATGGAGCGGCTGTCACCCAGCCCTCAGGCTCCAGCTCGGCTCTCTGAATTATGCAGCAGCGGGCTGTAATATGTGGCTATAGTTCACTAGGCATTCTGGGAGTTGTAGTCCCCAATTTGCTCTGGCAGAGAAGGTAAACTACAACCCCCCAAAGGGGGTGCGACCATATGCTCCTACAGTGAGCCAAGTGCTGCGTGCATTGGAGCTGTTGTGGCTGTATAAGGGTGTCTGAGCCCCCCTCTGGAGAGCAGTGCTGCACATGAGGTCCCAGGATTGTAGCTTCCCTGGCTGGAGCGGGAAAAGAGGTATGGTGTGGGCAGAGTGGGCGGCGGGGAAGGAGGTCTCTGTGGAGAAGTGGGGGATGGTTAGGGGTCGAGGATTTGGCACAGCCTTGCGTCACTGGTGCACGGTGACCTCTGGAGCTGTTAGTTAGAGCCCTGCAAATCCGCGTATATCTGCTTTATATCCGCGGAGATCTGCATCAGCAAATAGCAGATAGCCACAGAGAATTTTTGTGGATCGGAGTGCAGATACACATTTTGTATCCGTGAAAGTCTCTACCTATTATCACATTCAGCCAAGATGAAGATGATCCAGAAAGCTCACTCCAGTAGAGCTCTTTGAATCTCAAACTCCTTTTCCTCTTCCCCTAGATAATAATAACCTGTTGACATTGGGATCTGAACTCTGCTAGCTACTACTATGTATGCAAATTCAGCTACGTTAATAACGTAACTGAATTCGAAGTACCTTAGTCCGAACTTACCAAGGGTCCAGACGCGGCAGGCAGGCTCCCCCGTCGATGCCGCGTACTCCTCTCGCCGAGCTGGAGTACCGGCGTCGACGGTGAGCACTTCCGGGATCGATCCCAGAAGATCGATTGCTTACGGCCGGACCAGGAAGTAAGTGTAGACCTGCCCTTAGTATGGAGCATTAACTACTGAAGCGTTTATGCAATACACCTGCTTTCATTCCAGCCTGGAAACTAAACATTTGAATTAATCACTTCTGCACCTGAGACCTCCACATGATATTTCAACCTGCTGATGGTGCACTCCTGGGTCAGTTGTAGTTCATTTATATATTACAAAAGTACAAGGAAACTAACAATTCATATTCTATTTCTGTTTAAGGAAAATAAAGAAAAAAGTCATTAACATACAAAGAGTAAGTGAAGATATTTTGGTGCGTGGCTCATATAATTAGGTTCCTATTTCAATATACAACTGATATTCAGTTCTCCATTCTTGTTGCATTTATAGCCATCAAGAACTTCTATATATACTACTTTAAATGCCAAATGTTTCTTGAGACAACTTCTGTGGAGATATGATGACATTTCTGAATTGGGAATTTTTCAGTGGAAGAAAAACTATGCTAAAGATATATATATGATTAACCACAGTTCTAAACACTTAATGTTAACATATATCTCAGTTGTTTCACATTACAATTACCAGAGCACCACTGCTGAGGAGAATCATGAAGACAATGAAGGTCTCAAACCAGTTGTGTTCAACTATCTTGTAGCAGGTTTTCCTAAGATTCCACCATATTTTTCCTTTCCGATCTTCTATGCTGACTTGACAGCACTTGAACTTCCGTACACAGCCTGGCAAATGTGATATTAAGTTGTGAGATATGGAAATAAGGTAACAATGTATTCTGAAGCATTAATTAACTGATATCCATTTGACTAACTAGAGTTATTCTAAGGGATGTCTGTAAACAAGTGTCCCCCTGAATTCTTCAGCACATTAGTCTCACTTTTTGCAGGAAAAATAAGATTCGTATAACATATTCTTATGATACCTATTAGGCACCATTGGAACCTGCAGAGCTGTATGCCTGCTGCAACACCTCTGAAGGGGATACTAATGCAAAAGGGAAATGGGAGCATGATCAATACCCCCTCTTGAGGTTGCTAGTACTGTTGGTGGCACTAGTGGGGAGTAGTTTGTGGAAACAAAACACTCCACTAGACAACAATTTGCATCACTCACCTTCTGTAAAACAGGCTTCTGGTTCAAGAGCTTCTTCAGGTTCTATCTCTGGCTGTTCTCCTTCTAGAGGAAGTCCAATATCAACTGTACTACCTTCAGATGAGCTGGATGCATTTAGCTTCTGTAAATAAAAGCCCACATAACTGTTTTTTAATCAATACGTTTATTTTAAACAGTAAATTAATATTTGTAATGCATAACAAAATACTCTGCAGGTATTTCAGTGCTCTAAGTTAAAAGCATATTACATATGTAATGACAAATTGCTTTACTACAGGCAAGGTCACAAGATTAGAATGACATCACATGGATTTTTTTCCTAGTGAAAATATCTTCATACAGGGAGTCACCAGAATAATTTGGCTATTTTCTGCACCACATATGAGAATTTTGAAATGAAATTTCAATATGGTTAAACTTAGTTGCCCTGTGTACATTGTGCTATTAGGTTATATCAATCATGTTACTGTATTGTAGATTACACCTGTGATTCTCAGACTAAGGCTCCCGAGCCGCAAGTGGCTTTTTAATGTGTCTCTTGCAGCTCTTTGCAGCACATGATATAATAACACTCTGTGATTTAATTATTAACCAGTCTAAGTTATTAACCAATCAGAATGTTTTTACTATGTTATTAACCAATTGTAGTTGATAAAATAATAATACTCGGTCAGTCATTTTGCTGTGAGAATAATATACATATATAAACTAAATATTTCCCCTGTCAACTGTTTAAATATGAATATATAGTACTACAGTAAATGAAACAATGAATTCACACTACTGTGGCTCTTTTGAATAATTTGATCGGTAATTTGGCTCCGGAACCACTGAGGTCTGAGTATCACTGGATTATACTGTGGATAGCATATCATTTTTCCAACATTATGACCAAACCAATAGAAAGATGCATAGCAGTATTTTCATGTCTAATGTAGATGGCATTCTATCAAATCTGTCAAATCTAAAAGTTGATATTTAAACTTTTTCATCTCATTGACATGAAAACACATATTACCAGTTGTTTATAAGTATTTTTAAAGTTTCTAGATTTTCAGAAAGAACAGCACATTAATTTTAGAGCAATAGCCATTATTTTGCATTCTCTTTTGCCAATGCACTTATATAGTCTATTGTGCATTTTGAAACTACTTGTTACTCTGGTACAGTACACATACATGTCCAGTTAATACATAAGTAAGCAGAGATATTCATACTTTTAGGATAGCTGAAATGAAATCAAATACTTTTCAGAGAAACTTGTAATATAAGAATATTGCATCAATGAACCAAAATCAGTGATGTAATCCAAATCTTCAACTTTGTTCTTTTATGCTAAGATATCATATGGTTAGCAACGGACAAATGTGAGTACCATACTAAATAAAAGTAGTTTTGATCACAGCATTCTATGACCTCTTACAATGTTATTACCATGTAGCGTATAACATCAGTAAAATGGCTGCGTTGATAAATAGCTAATTTTATAAAGGGAATGATGTAAGCAGATTGAGAGTACATACTTATGTGGTGTTAATGTTAGACAGATGGTTGCTGCATTGCAGCATTAAAGACACCTTCTCTACTTCGCTGACAATTTTGAAGCTTAGGTTAGAGGCATTATTCCTAGGAAGAATGTTCTATTATTATGGAGTTTCAACTTTTTTTAGTGCTTGGAAAGAAAGTTAGTTATAAAGAAAACCATTTTATCTCCTGTTCATCTTAATTTGTGAATACAGAAAGCAGACATAAACTTTTAAAATATTCTTCAGGCTTAAAGAGAACTGATTTGCTTCTCACATATTCTAGTTTTACCATGTTGTAAATCCACTGATTTCAATAGATATACACCAGTGTAGTTTAAGAGGCGTGTCAGATTTATAATCTTTCGCGCATAGCTGTTATATTGGTGAAATCAAATTGTATACTGTAATTATATGAAATTGATTGATTCCCATAATTAAAACTGTTACAGTTGACCCATCAAGGATGCCCAGACTTTGGGCCAAAATTTGATCACTTTATTTAAGTAATCCAGTTGAAGTCAATGGGTGACTTGTATGAGGTGAATAATATTTGACACTTTGATTACAGTAGCAGATTTATTACTTTGGATTTAATTTTATATTGTCTTGTTTACAAATAAATCCTCCATTTCTAGCAAACTATTTATAGCAAACTATTTAACAATGCTGCATAAAGAAAATACACTAGGAAAACCTTAATATACTACAATTTTTGCTTTTCAGGAAATCTTGGTTTCCTTAAATCAAGATTACCTAATCTTTCTGCAATATGCATGATTTATAAAGATCCCTTATATGAATGGTGTCTGAAAGTTCTATGCAAGTTAGCATCTAACATACCGGGGTTTGCTACTGCTCAGAGGATAGACACTCTAACCAGGAATGGCTCCAGCTTTTTTGCCGCTCCAAGCGGCAAAGTGGGAAAAAAAAAGACCCGGACGTGCCACCCCTTTCCACTGGCCGCCCCAAGCACCTGCTTCCTTCGCTGGTGCCTGGAGCCGGCCCTGACTCTAACCAGTGGGAATTTTGAGTGTACAGCCTATATGCAGGACTGGGCCTTTGTTAGTTGATGAGCTGCAAACTAAAAAAAAAATAAAAAAAAATAAAAAAAATTGCAGGAACCTCCAAACTACTTAGCAGAGAGTCTAGTTTCCATGATTAAATGCTACAAAATAAAATATTGCAAAATCTTATAGGACACTGACTGTATTGTGGGGACTTTGTTGTACTATGATCTCTGTGGAAATTGTAATAATGATTACGGATTCAAATATTCAGGAATTTTAAGTTCAGTGGTGCAGTAGCATTTTCAGGTATTGTTGTAGGAAAGGGGGATGCAGACAACCCTTCACTCAGAAAAATGTAAAGGTAAATGTGTAAGTGCTGTAACCCATCCTGGGCAGATATATCAGTCAGAAATGGTCCAGTATATATGATACAGTGGATGGTCCTAGAGCCTGCCTAGTAGGTGCTTTGCCCTGACTGTGGGGGGAAGTGACCATTTGGAACAGGTCTGTAGAATTTGGGAAGCTAATAGAAATTTTGTGAGCAGTTTATGGTCAGGATGGAAATAAATTAGTGGTATTTAAAATGTCTGGTACTAAACTGGACAAGGATATTGAAATCTGCAACACTAAAAAATATCACTTTTTTTTTCTTACAATTTTCAAATTGTACAAAGAGGTGTAATGTCAGTTTGTCTTATTTTTATCTAAGCCTGTTCCCTTGTGAGTTCCCAAAGGAAGACTTACTTTATTCTTAGGGATATATGAATAAATGTTCTCCTATAAATTTGGGATCTTTTCTCTTTCTATGGGTCTTTCTTCTATTTCCAAACCCTACAGATAGCTTAGTATCTCAAAGAAGTGAACAGACTCTTTTCACATGCACAATATGAACATACCCTATAGGATATAAAAAATTACTTAGCTGATTTTCACTCATCTAAACTTGCCGAGTCATAATGGAAGACACAATTTTCTTCTCAATATCAAAAATACACAATGTTAACTGCCGCTCCAGCTCACTTGAGTAGTACAGAAATAGCTGGATGAGGATAATCTCTGAATTCCTCTCCTTGTCACCTCTAGCAGTGCTGACTTTTTCAGGAGTTCTCTGTCCGCCAGTCTTAATGCTTAGCAAATAATATATGGAAAGGTTTACAGTGATGAGGACTTAACTTCTTTGATTTCCATGACCTATACCAGCCTTATGGACAAGGTCCTGCAAGTTTGAAAAATTATTTCAGAGTGTATTGTGCATGTTATTTCAATGGAATATGGGTGCCTAACTCCTTTAGGCTTCTTTGAAAATCCAAGCCTACGTATATAAGGTTAAATTCTGGTCTCCTGTCCATCTATGACCTTCACAGGGGAGTCAGTGGGAGTCCTATCCACAGATATGAGGTCAGAAATCACCCAGTGTGTTCTTTATGAAGATACGTACATCAAATTTGCTGTAAATAGATATTGTGCAACACAAAAAGTAACAGAATTTAATAATTACATTAATTCAATTAGTATTCTAGTGTAATATATGCAAAATTACAGAAATGCATTTTTGACACAGCAGTTTAGCTATTGTGAAATACTGCCTCTATAATATTAAAACTGATGAGTAAAGGGCCAGATTCTGTATTTCTCAAGTAAGGGCCATAGAGTTTGGCTTACTGTGAATACCAATTATCAATTTCAGGAAAAGCCATAAATAAGATAAATGTCAAAGTATATTCCAAGTAAATAAATTCATACCACAGCATAAAAATTACCTCTTAATAATACAATAAATAAATAACTTTAAAATCAAGGAAAATACTCTCTTTGTATACTATGGAATTACATTAAGATTTTACTTGCATCATTCCAGCCTGGGCAGCATTTATATCAAAAATGCTGCAGCAATAGCAGAGCAAACAAAAATTATGAATTGGTTAAAAAAATAAATCAAAGTTTGAAAAATCTATTGTTCATTTTTGTAAAAGGAGAATAAAGAGCTTAGAAACTCATCCATTGTGAAATGTGTTAATTCAGCAGGAGGTCATTGCAAGAGTGAATAATAAGTTCTTATCACTGAAGTTACATGAGATTTATTCCGTAAATATTTTAAAGACAGTTAGATAACTCAAAATGGAATTAATTATCAGGAAAATTAGCAGTCAGTCTTTATTAATGTAGGGTAAGAATTTGAATTTTATGGATGGTAAATTGGGTCTTACTAGTCTCTTCTCACAGAAAATCTGGTATGCTTCTTCTAAAGAGCTGTAATTACATTCACATGAGTTAAGGTAGGCAGATTTACAGTCTGCTTACCAAAATAACGAACAGCACCAATAGCAGTTGATATTTGAAACAAAACAAAAATATTTTAAACTGTCTTGTCCTACTGAGAGTTCTGTTACTCTTCCACTCTTGATGTCACAGAAAATATATTTCCTTAGTATGCTGTTCCTGTGTGTCTCAGACAAGATTACTCTATCGACAAGTATATTAAAACAATTACCCAACTGAAACTTACAATGAGTCGGTATTATCTGCAGAAGGGAAATTTTAACACTGAAATGTTCAAAATAAAAAAGTATGTGAGAGGAAAATTCTAA